ACTCCTGGTGCATGCAGAACCTTTTCGCAAGCACAAAAAACTCCTCTGCCGCCTTAGCAACCGTGCAAAGCTTCACTTCCGGAAGCATCATGGACGTCACTCCCGAGCTGCAAAAAGCCGTGCAGGCTGTGCTCGATGATGCATCCGTCCCGCTACTCAGCCGGTGGCAGCGAGTAGCTGACAAGCTGGTGGAGGGTGGACTGGCATGGCGGGCGAAGTTGCAAGCGAGCAGCATGCTGGTCCACAACCACAACAGGGGCGGTCTCGGTGTCAGTGGACATGGGTGCCACCTGAAAGGCGAAGCCCTGGCCAAAAGCGGCTTCGACATGAAATTCCTCCATTCAGCTGTCTGTTGCTTGGCTGCTCTGAGTTTGTTGTTTGCAAGTATTACAAAGCGGTGTATCTGCCCATTTGCTGCATGAGGTTTCGAGATCAGCCACGAGCCTAGCAGACTGGCTGAACAGCTGGAGTTCAACCGTAAGTTGGTGGAGCAAGCCTCCGGGCTCTTGGCGCCGCTGCAGGGTGCAGAAAGATACTTGTCCGTGAGTTGCGGGCACACAACTCAGTTTGTGAAGGCCGTCCTCTGCAGCTGCCAGACACCCGTGCTGTCTCTCGCCGACCAGACAGGCCGACTGAACAGGGAGGCCCTGGGCAGAGATAGCCATCTGAATGAGATGCTCTCCGAAGGGTGGACTTGGCTGGTGATTAGCTCTCGGGCTGAGTCCGCCTTTCCGCAGCTGCCTTCATTGGCCGAAAAGGCAATGAACAGCTCCAACTCAGCTTTCACGGCGACGATGGAAGTAGAGAGCATGCTTCATATGCAGGAGATCATGCAGAAGCAGATCGCTGAGGGCAAGGAGATCGATGTTGAGGCCGTCGCCTCCGAGGTGGTGCCTGTTGGGACGACATTGATGCAATACTCTCCGTTTTTGTGCCGATGGCTCGAAAAGTTCAGCGACGGCGGAAAGTTTCTCACCCAGTTCCTTTCGCCGTTTAGCCGAGAGCATGGAGGCAACTGTAATCTGGGAGAAGATTTTTTGGCCATGGCCGCAGGCAGAGGCACTTTCGCTGGCAATGCGGCAATGCCAATGGTTCGGCTGGCCATGCTAGCGACCAACTATGCAGCTCCTGGGCACAAGATGGTTGACGGCTATGCGAAGCTGATCGTCCAGGCTGACTGGACCAAAATGAAAAGCGCCAAATTTCAGCCGAAGGTGAATGAGATGGAGCAGCAGCTCTACGAGTGCTGGCGAGTGGCAGAGAAGCAGCTTCCGAGCTTGGACTCGGTCCGCACCTTCGGCAAGTGCTGCATTCGCATGGCACTCCATGTGCTCCAGAAAGAGTCGCTTGATTCGTTTGATTTCTTGGTTTGTTGTGCATGCTGGCATTCTCAAAACATCTGACGACCCCTATAGCCTAAAGAGAGAGACCTCTAGATTGGTCAACATTTGAGGAAGATGGGTCGAGAGGCCAAGACGTACAAGTCCCTTGCGGAGATCCGGGCACTCTTCAATGACCAAATGGCTGGGGTGGCTGCTGCCTTGTCACCGCTACAGCAGAAAAAAAATGCAGGAGCCAGTGTGGCTAGCTTGAGCGAGAACTACGACCCCCTCTACCAAGCGATGCAGCAAATCAAGCTGGAACTTGGCATGAACTACATCATGGAGGACAGGATGTGGAAGCTCGTAGCTATGTCATCGGCCACTTTGTCTCTAGAGCTTTGCGATCTCTTCGAGGCGGAGAGCAGGGACATCCCGACGGTGAAGGCGGTCAAGCTCCTCAAGGCCACGAAGCAATCAGCTCCCGAGCTCTTGCCGGCTACAATCTGCAAGAACAGGGATGTGCAGCACCTGTTTGCTATGGAGGCCATGCAAGCCGCTGCCTGGGTTTATTTGCTGAAACAGGCGGAGAAGTACGACAAGTTGTGGAACTACATTTGCTTGGATGGCACAGGCAAAAAAGCTTACACTTCTGTGAAGATTCCCAAAGGCGGCCTCATGCTGGTTCCCTCGACAGATTCGCCCCACAAGCTGGTTCAAAAGGAGCCCGATAAGAAAAAGCCATACGGCTTCTTCAAGTTCGGAGGGACGGATTTCTATATCCTTCCACCCGCCATTTATCGAAAGGGTGACGGCTTGGCGAAGCCAGACACTGGGAGCACGTGTGCTTACTGGTGGGTGCAGAGGGGCCAAACAGCAGGGTCGCAGGATCCATGCTGCATGGAGGAGCACGAGTGGCACGTGGGCAAGAACAACATGATCGTCGTGCTCCAGAACTCCGTGCCGATGGAGAAGCACACCCTCCTCACCATGGAGCTGGAGGAAGAGGAGGAGGAGAATAGTCGACCTGCGAAGAAGGCCAAGAAGTGAAGAGCCCTCGAAGGGGCTGCAGATGTTGCAGGAGCTGAGTAGAAAGCTTCTGTCTATGCAGTCGCAATCGTATGGTTAACCTTGTCGGTTGAAGAAGATTGCAGATATTTCATGTCTGAGTACATCAGTTCTATAGCTCTGCAATCCAAATCGTTTAATCAACCTTTTCGCCTCAAGCGGACTGCACATGCTTGATTAGCCTCTGGCTCTGCAGTCTGAACAAAATTTTCGCCCTGCAGGCTCGCATTCGCAATGTTGTGCAGCATAGCAGTTCTAATCAAGCCGAATGCCTATACATCAATTTATGTGTTGATCAGCTCTTAAGCTTTGCAGCCCTGCAGAAGCTTTCTCAGCTGGGATCTCAAGAAACACCGGCGCCGAGGGGAAGAGAAAAGAAAAGTTACAGCAGGTGCATCTGCATGAGTAAAGCTGAAAACGAGCCTCTGTGTGAAACCATAAAAGCTGTGCGGCTGAGGTCCTCCTGCTTTTGAGTTTTGCCTTCGGGTTGAGTCGCAGTCATGGTGAGTGTGGAGAGGCAGTATGCATTGTCCTTTGAGAAGACTGGCCGAAAGTGGGTGGTGCCAAGCTCCTTCGTGCACGAAGACCGCTGGTTGCAATTGCGACCTACTTGCTACGGCCTCTGCAGCCTGCTCGGTGCACCGGGATCCACCAAGAATCCCAGCCTCCGGGCTTGCAAGGGCTTGTCATGGCTGCAGGCAGAGAGGAACAAGATGCTGAAGCTGCTTCCACAGTCTGACGACTTGTTCGGAGGCGATCAGCAGCTTTCGAGCTCTAGTTCCAAGAAGCGGAAGGCGAGCCATGTGGCTGAGGAGAAGGAGCACGTGGACGTGCCCCTGCCTGACGGCCGCAGCATCTGTGTTCGGGCATGCACCAAGAAGTCTGAGGATGTTCAGGTGTTGCTGGAGCCAGAGGCTTTGGACGTGGTCTTCTCTTACCTCACCAGTGAGCCCTTCGAGTTCCAGGCGGCGACTCGCAGCTATGTCCGCAGTGGCAAGTTCAAGAAGGACAAGAAGAACCAACCCGACGAAGACTCAGAGAATGCGGAGGACTAAGTGCACAGTTCGGGTGCTGCAGCCTCTGGCTCCTTGCTGTTTTGTCCTTTCTGCAGATGCAGTGGCTGGACTTTGCTGCTTCGATCAATGCAGGGCTGCAGCCTCTGGGCTTTGTCTTTCCGTCCCTTCTGCGAAGGCAGTGCTTGGACTTTAGATCATCTGTACAGCTTTTGCTATGTGTATATTTTACCCTGGGCTTTTGGGCCGGCAAGCCTTGCAAATTTTGCACTTCGAGGTCAAAAAAAAAAGTAGTCCAACATGCTTTAGGCAACAGTAGATATGTTGTTTCCAGCAGCATGCTGATGCCTATACGACTGTGCGGGTTTGTATAGGGTTTAAGGTTTATAGGGGTTAGGGTTTTACGCTTTAGGGTTTAGACAATATACAGGATATAAGCCTCAAGAGAACCTCAACGAATGCAAAGCTTTCGGGCTCACACTTTCCGAAACCCTATTCCCGCAACCCTAATGCCTATAAAAGCATTGGTGAGTTTCTGCAGTCCAAGGTTTTAGCAGCAGCCTTCGGGCTTGGCTTTCAAAACGAGATTGTATATACACCTGCAGCCAGCAGACCAAAACCCACAGGAACCCCCGACCGACCCAAAACCTTTATATTATCTATATATATCTGCACTGATGACTACCCCAGGTTTTCTGAGGAGCCTTCGGGCTTATTAGCTTTCAAGAAGAAAACCCTAAACCTGGAAGCTTGTGGCCACAACCCAAGACCAAGCCTAAATCTCGAATCCTGGAACGAGCCTCTACCCTGAAGCAGGGATCCAAGCCTTCGGGCTCATGTCTGTATGTTAAGCAACAGCATCGGGTTTGGGCTTCAGGGTGTACAGGGTCTGTCTGTAGACATGACACGAGATTTGTTTCAGAAGCTTTCGGGCTTGCAGATGTGGGCCAGCAGTGCATGTGAGCCGACACGAGGGCATGTGCACATGTGAGCTGACACGAGGGCTGTGTAGGCGCCTGCATGTGTGCCTCGGAGCAGAATGTATGTGTGCCGCCGGTTAGCACATGTGCTCGACAGAGGATGCAGGATGCAGCATGCAGCACAGCAGCCGCAGAGCACCAGCCGGGCAACAGCACAGCAACAGCAGAGCAACAGCAACAACAGCACAGCAGCCAGAGCTCTCGAGCTCTCGAGCTGCCATGGCAACTGGCAGCGGCGGTCCTAGTGGTGCAGATGCTCAGCATGCAGCTGCAAAAGCTCCTGGTGTAAGCCCTGACATCCTGGACCGCTGGAACCCTGAGCTCAGCAGAGACACCGTGTGCCTGGGCTTGATTTACTTGAAGCCTAATAGAAATCATATAAGTTCATTCGATGGAAGCCTTCGGGCTGTTTTTTCTGGGAGAAGCCTTCGGGCTGTGTAATTAAACAGTTGAGGACGATGCAAGACCTCATCCAGCAGATCGTGCAGAGGGACTTCGAGATCGCCAACTTGAAGGCCCAGGTGGAACTGGAGCAAAGCTGGCGAGGCACGACTTTCCAGCTGCTGGAGAAAGCTCTGAAGGACGTCACTCGCCTCGAGGAAAGGAACCAGGCTCTTTTTGAAATCGTTGAACTCCCCGCTTTGAGTGGCGACGAGAGCTCCGTGAAGAAGGCCAGGGTGGAGAAGCCTTCGGGCTCGCCTTCGGGCTCGGTGCTGCCTAAGCCTGCGGGCTCCCCGGCAGCGAAGGGCCCACCTATAGTGCCTGCTCCACCGCCTGTGCTGCCTCCTCCTCCGCCGCCGAAAGGACCGCCTCCAGCAAAATCTGGTGGAAAAGCCTCCGGGCTGAGTTCTGGCAGAGCTTTCCTGGGCGATGAGGTGGCTCTCCCTCGGGTGAAGGGTCCACCCCAACACCTCCTGGATCAGTTCGCTGCAGAAGCACAAGCTAAAGCAGAAACAGCTCCGCCAGAAGCTCCAGCAGAAGCAGGTCCGGCTGAAGCAGCTCCAGCAGAAGAGGCTGCAAAAGCTAAAGCAGTTCCAGCTGAAGCAGCTCCGGCAGAGGAGGTTCCTGCAGCAGCAGCAGCAGCAAAAGCAGCAGCAGCAGCAACAGCACCAGAGCCACCCCCAACAGAGACCTTGCAACCAGAAGCTGCAGAGCTGGCAGAGGCAGAGCCACCAGGAACAGCAGCAAAGGGCATGCCTGCACAGCCACCACAGCAGTCAGCGGATGCAAAAGCAAAAGCAGGAAGAGCTCCGCTTTATACTGACCGTGGCGATGTCTCCGGCTTTTTGAAGACCGGGCTCCTTGGCTTACACATAGCCTTCGGGCTTCTTAAAAAAGTGTCCGGGCTTCTTAGGCAAAGCATGTGTCTATTGTTCAGCCTTCGGGCAACTAGCCTTCGGGCTTCTTAAGCGAAGCATGATCTTCTCTGTGCTCGAGATAACTCAAGCGACAGGGTCGATATGTGTAAATCGAGAGGTTTGGGTGGATATGAAGACATAGATAGTGATATGCAAAAGTAGATCTATAGATAAAGAGGTCTGTCCACAGATAGACAATAGATCCACACATACAGACATAGATAATAAATGGGTGTCTAGAACATGGCTGGGTATATAAACACACACAGATATATACACATATATGTATATATATGTACACATCTCCACATTGCTAAAGCATGCTTATATGTATGTTGCTATATATGTATATGCACATGCATACCTGTTGTTTATATACATACATGCATAGATATGTATGTATATATACATATATATATATATGATATAGGCAGGTGTAGCTCCCTTATATATCTTTAAGTATATATCTCGGTAACTATAGATTAGAGGTATAGGGTGGTAGGTAGGTAGGTAGTTAAGGAAGACAAGGCATGGGTAAATAATTTGTTTCGATTAAAGAGCCAATCGGCTACAATGGTTGTTTACACATATAGAAGCTGTCGGGCTTGGGTTGCACATCTCAGGTGGATGAACAAGTGTGTGGCTCTGGCTGGCCAAGTGCTGAAAGGCGATCGCGAAGAAGCCAAGCGGCTGATCGACGTGCAGCTGTGATGGAACAGCAATTGAGATTCTGAACTGTTTGTAATTTTTTTTTTAATAATAAATTCAGTTTCTGAATTTTTGCAGCTTCAAACCTTGAAACAATTTTTCTGCATCGAGAACCCTACACTACAACTCCACCCCCACACCCCAAACCTTAGATTTCAACCCTTCAACCATGAATCTACAAACCTTTGAACCCTGAAACCTGTAAGCTCCTTTGCTCCCCCGACAATAAAACTTTCATTGACTACAATCCTAAACCATGAATACATTCAGGTACAACGACACTCCTGAGTTCTGTCAGTGCTTGGATCTTCACCGAAATGCTCTCGAGCGATACGGCTGGGATTGGCATTACTATTACCAATCCCAGGACCCTGCTCGTCGCCAGACATGGACCTGAGGAGAAGCCTTGGGGCTGTGGTGCAACCTGTCCTACTAAACCCTTGTATTGTTCTAAAGAAGCCAGTAGCCATCCATAATTCAGGATTTTAATTGTATCTTAAAAAATAAAACCAAGAATTAAGTTTCTGAATTACGGATACCATAACCAATTCAGAATCTGAATTGCTTTTCAAAAATATGTATCAATAATTCAGAAACTTAATTAACGGCCTCACCAGAGAAGCCTCAGGGCTAAAGCTTATAGTCTCCAGGCGAAACCCAAAACTCCTCAGGTAGCCATGGCCAAGCTAAACCACGTTTGCGAGTCGCCGTTTCACAACAGCTTTCGGGCTACTGTTGGGCAAGTTGGGTTGCTGTTGTTTGTTTTGCGACTTGGCAAACATAATGCCTTCTAGTGTGCACTTTCGTCGCCAAGCTGTCTTCCTTAAACCAATAAATAAACTTTCTAAGGATTGTCTAGCCCAAGGGCTTGTAAAGAGCATAGCAGCTGTTGCTGTCCGGCGGGGAAAGCACGGCGACTTTGC